TGTGTGTGTGTGTGTGTGTGTGTGTCGGTGTGTCGGTGTGTGGCCGCGCCCCGCCCCGCCAAGGCCACGCCTCTTTGGCCTCGCTATCCGATCGCCAAGGTACGCTCTCCACCTCCTCATCCTCGAGTCCCTCCCCCTCCAATCCTTTTCCCCTTTCGGTACCCTTCCGGCATCATCGTCGTCTCGCAAGACTTCGACCCTTCTTCCCGCCATCCGGTGCGCATTCGCCGCTCGCCCCATTCGGCCTCATCACCACCCATCCCGCACACGCCCCGATCTCATCGCACTCCGTCTTGCCCAGCTCTCGTTGCAGCCCCGAATCGATTCGGTCTCCATACCCCAACAGCAAGCTCAGATTCCCAAAGCATCGCCGTCTTCGATATCGTCCTCGGACGCCGCTGTCGCCGTGACAAACAACGTGGTCGCCAAAGTCGCATTCAGCGTGCATCCGCAGCGTTGGCCCGGCTTCATCCCTGATACCCTTTCTTTAGCATCCGAACCTACCTCCGGACTCGACGCGAAACGCTTGCGGCGCCCACGCTTCACCCTCGCCTCCGCCTCGGCTCGACCTCACCTAGCCTAGCTCAGCCTCGTTGCAATCTGCCCGACTCGTCTCCGTCCCTCCGCATCCCACCATGCTCGAGCCACCGCAGGGCGCCGACCCCGAAGACTACTATGTAAAGCAGGATCGCGTCGGCAAGGGCTCCTTCGGCGAGGTCTACAAGGGCTTCGACAAGCGCTCTCGCCAGCCCGTCGCCATCAAAATCATCGACCTCGAAAACGCAGAAGACGAGATCGACGACATTCAGCAGGAGATCGCCATCCTCAGCCAACTCGACAGCCCTCACGTCACCAAGTGAGTCCCGCCCGATGACATGCTTTGCCGCGTGTCTCGACGTTCATCGACCTAACCTCAACTCATCTTCTTCCTCTGCTCACCCAGGTATCATGGTTCGTGGCTCAAAGGCACGAATCTGTGGATCGTCATGGAGTACTGCTCCGGTGGCAGCTGTTCCGATCTTGTAAGCTTGCATCATCAAAACGCTCCGTGTGCTTCAGCAGCGCTGACACCCTCTACTCCCACGTCTTCTGCCTGCACTCTCAGATGAAGCCCGGCCGATTCCGCGAAGACTACATCGCAATCGTCGTGCGCGAGCTTCTCAAAGGTCTCGAATACCTCCACGGCGAGGGCAAGCTCCACAGAGACATCAAAGCCGCCAACATCCTCCTCTCGGCCACCGGAGACGTCAAGCTCGCCGACTTTGGTGTCTCCGGTCAGCTCACCGCCACCATGACCAAGAAGAACACCTTTGTCGGCACCCCCTACTGGATGAGTCCCGAAGTCATCAAGCAGAGCGGCTACGACTTCAAGGCCGACATCTGGAGTCTCGGCATCACCGCCATCGAGCTCGCCATGGGCGAGCCTCCCTATGCGGATCTGCATCCCATGAAGGTTCTCTTCCTCATCCCCAAGAACCCGCCCCCTCAACTCGAAGGCCCCTTTTCGCGCCCCTTCAAGGAATTCATCAACCTCTGCCTCCAGCGCGATCCTGCCAATCGGCCATCCGCCCGCGAACTGCTCAAGCATCCCTTCATCCGCAAGGCCAAGAAGACCACCTATCTCACCGAACTCATCGAGCGCCTCGAGCGATGGAGGGCAGAGGGCGGCGATCGCCACGAATCTGAAGAGAGCGAGGAGGCCGACGAAGATTTCCACGAGGGCGAGGAGGACATGTGGGACTTTGGCACCGTCCGCAACACCATGCGTCGTGGCGGCAGGGGTACGGTCGCTATGCGCATGCCCGCCAGTGCCATGACGGCAGCCGCAGCGGCGGTCAACGGAGGCGAAGACGTCCAAAACGGCAGATACCAGGCCAAGGAGCTACCCCAGGTTCCACACCAGCCCCCGCGCTCGCCTCAACCCCAGCCTCGATCCCCGACCTATCCCCAGGCCTCTTCTCATGCGCAGCCCCAGCATCAATCTCCTCGACAGCAAGCACCACCTCCACAGCACAAGCAACCATACCAGCAGGACCGCAGATTTGACACGTCCGGCTCTTCTGGATCCGCTGGCTCAGGATCCGGCTCGGCGGGCGGCACAGTCCGCCTCGCAGGTGCCCCAGTGCGACCGGGCATCCCAACGGCGGGCGCTGGCCACGATGGAATCGCCCGACAGCCTAGCTTCTCGGCGGCTGACGCATACGACAAGGCCATCTCGGGCCGTGCATCTCCGCAGCCGAGACCGGCCACCAACGGCAATGCTTCTCACAGTGCCAATACCGGCGCCGGAGGGCGCTACGCCGACAATCACCAAGGATACGATGCTGTGGAAGAGGAGCGCAGGAGGATGGAAGAGATGCGTCTGCATCAGCAGGGCGCGCCGCAACGGCGTGACGCGAGCCCCAGAGGCGCGGATCGGCGCGGGGACGCGGCGCAACAGCAACAACAGCACCAGTACCAGCAACAACATCATCAACAGCATCAGCAGCAGCAGCCACCACCGCAGGCGCAGCAACAGAGCGCTCGACTCACCGCGCTGGACACTGTCTTCTTGCCCGTCATCGAACAGCTCAACATGGCCGTCGCCTCGCGACGAGATGCCGTGCGGACGCTCGCCAATCTTCGCGCCTGCCTCGAGGAGGCCGAGATGGTGACGCCAGGCATCATGAACGCCTTTGCCGTCGAACTGTTTCACACTATGGCCGAGGTCGAGGGCGACCGCGAGCCAGAAGAGGACCAGTGGGATGGTTAAGCTAGACTTTGTTCCAGTCCAAACTTGCAACGCCGAACTCCCTCTGCAGAGCTGGATCGGGATTGCCGATAGTCGCAGCGTGATGTGACGCTTGCGGTCCTTTTACCGTGCCCGTTCGGTTGCGCTCCGATCTTTGCTCAAGCCAGCTCACTCTTCCAATCTCACCAGAGACAGCGCCGTGGGCGAGACCGTCCTCGGTCGTCGTTCCCTCAGTGCATGACTCTGTGTTGCGCGAAGCCGTCGTCCAGGGTATCCGCGGGACATCCCAGTAGTACTCCATACACGCAAGTCGGGATGCCCCTTGCTCCGCCCTTTCGACAGATCTCGTTCCCCTCTCCTCTCTCCTCTCTCCTCTCTCCCTACGCACTACTGTTCATCTAATGGCGACGGTAATCCGCGCTTCATACCTGATTGCGCGCCATCTTGAAATGGTCGCGCGACGCATTCCATTCCATTCCCATCCACCCGCCCCTTCGACCTCTCACTCGCTCACAATTCCGCACCGCGGTGCTCGCACGTTTCGAATCACATCGCTGATGAATCCACGCCTGCTCTCGCGACATTGTCAACGAGGCTTGTATTGCGATTGAATGTCAGCTGCTCAGCACGAGCCGAGGAGGAAAAGATGAGATGCAATGTGTCGGGATAAGCCCGCGCTCAAGACTGGTCGAGGTCCGACTCGAGGAAAGTCTTGAGTCGGGTCCAAGGCGCAAATGATTCAGAGTCGAGAGCGAGATCAAGGCCCTGGAGCTTTGCCTGGAAGGTGGAGAGGGCCGACTTGTTTGCCTGGGCGCGCTCGTCGTCGTTGTTGTCGTCGGCCGCCTTTGAGCCTCTGAACATTCCGAGGAGACCCGACGAAGGAGCCTGTGACTTTTTGAGCCTGATGAGCGACTGCTGATTCTTGGTGATGGTCTCGACGGTAGTGGTATAGCTCCTAAACGCGTATGTGAGGATAGGTTCTGTCCAGTCGCGCTTGATATCGTCCGGAATCGCTCTTACCGCTTCTAGCTTCAGGAAAGCTTCGAGCGGTGCAAACAGCTGCTGAACCACCTCGACGCCAGCATTGGCAGAGCTGGAATTGGCGCGGTAAGCGGGCGTTGAAAACGAACGCAACAATCGAAGCGGCGCAGCCACACGCGGACTGATCGTGCCAAACGCCAATCGACCCACGCCCGACACGAGCCCGGCGATAAAGTCAAACGTCTCCCTATCGAGAACTTTGACCAAATCCGAACGAAGCTCTTCCAAACCATCTGAATCGGCTTCTATGCAGCTCGAGATGCGCGCAAGGATGGTCTCGTCCAGCAGAGCGTGAATGCGCGTGCGGAGCAACAGACAGTCTCCAACCAGAGCCGCTCCCAGAGCCAGTTGCTCGTCCTCGTGCTGTTGCGTCGAAACGTCCGGTGCGGGCTGCGGAGTCGCCGAGCGCGAGATCTCCACCGACCCTGCACGGTCCATACTACTACGCGATCCGTCAGCCGACCCCGTTGCGGCGCCGGCACGCAGTGCATCCAGAGGTCGATTGCTGATACCCGCCTCGACAGGCGACCACTCCTCCACCCACGTCTTGTATCGACTGAGGATCTGCAGTGTCACCCGCCACTCCCTCGCCGAGAGCTCGTGAATATGCATCCCGTCAGACCACACCCGCGCCACCGCATCGAGCGTCGCGCGCGTCGCCTGCATCATCTCGCCCTCCGCGACACGCGCGCGCCCGTCGGCCAGCCCAACCTCGAGCTGCGTCACCACCTCGCGGAAGCGCATCTGGAAGTACACCGGCAGCTGCCAGCGCCGCCTAAACGCCGTCCACCCGGGATGCGCATGCAGCGCTGCGCGCGAGGTTTCCGTAGGAGCCAGCGCAGAAAGCTTGTCGAGAAACGCCCGCGTCACAGTGTAGTGCGCATAGAAGGAGTCCGTCTGTCCGACAAAGAAGATCACCGTGCCAAGGTCGTCGAGCAGCCTGGCGCTGATTTCGTCCCACAGCACATGGACGAAGACATCGCACTGCGCATCTTCCCGAGCTGCGGACGCAGGCGTCTCGGTGGAGTGCATGCTCTGTAGCGACACCTCGCGCGCCGCATCCACCACCTGCCACGCCGTCGTGCCCACAAACGTCAGCACGGCATTGTAAACCGTGCTCAGCCGGTCCGATTCGATCGTCGGCAGCAGAGCGGACTGGGCTCGCTGACTGTGCTCCTGAAACATCGCCAGCGCCGTGCTCGGCAACCCGCCCGTCTCTTCGGTCTCCACATTGCTGGAGGGGTTCTCGGCGATCGTGCGCGCCGCCCACTTGCTGACGAACAAGTCGCGCACCGCTTCTTCGGCCTCATTCCGGCGCCGCGCCACATTGCCTGCCCCATCTTGGCCGTCCTTCGCCCGGACAAGCGTGAGTGTGTTGAGCGTGGCCAGTGCCATCTCGAGCCACGAGCGCTGCTCGTCGAGTCTCGCCTGCCAGTACGCTGATTCCGCACCCGCGCTCTCGTCCGTCGGCTCGGCGACCTGGCTCCAGCTGTCGAGCTCGCTGGCGCCTTGCTCGTGGATCGTTGCGGGCTTCCCCAGCGTCGATGTGCCCAGGAAGCTCGCTCGCCGCGCGCTTCCGGGCGATGGGCGCGATGAGCGTCGGAGCTCGGGCGAGCCGGGCGTGCGCGCGCTGCTCTGACCGTGCACGAGCAGCGAGCCGGGTGCGAGCAGGACGCCGAGCAAGGCACGCAGGTCCTGGCGCAGCACAGAGCACACGTGATCGATGCGATCTTGCAGCACATCAGTGAACTGCGACAAACCCTCTTCGTCGATGCGTCGATGGAGGAAACGCAGACGCGAGTACTCGGCCGACGTGCGTGCGATGCGCTGCGGAAGCCCGAGCAGCGATGACGCGCCCCCGTTGACAGTGTCGGATCGAATCCGTGTAGCAGACGGCGAGGTAGGCTCGTCGTGCACTACATCCTTGGCTACCGAGGATCGACGCAGAGCTTTGCGCCTCGGACGGTTGGAGAGAGCATCGCTGAGCTGGGTGCGGTCGTCACTGTCGCTGTCCTCGTCGTACTCGGACGACATGGCGTAGTCGGAGAGCGCATCGTCCGAGTCTGCTGCCACTGAGGCCAAGCTACCCCGCCGCTCGGGTTGCGATGCTATGCTGATGACCGACGGTCGACGTGCCGACAGCGACGACTTGCGCCGGTTGCGCTGCGGGTGTGGCTGCTGGATGAGCAACAGCTCTTCGAGACGCACAATCGAGTCTTGCAGCTGCAGCATGAGCTCCAAGCGCGCCTTGTGACTCGCCGCCTCTTCCTTCCTTTTCATGCAGCTCGCAATGTCGTCCTGCACGCTCTTGAGCATGCTGCGTGAGGCGAGCAGCGTGTCTCGCACGGGCGCCATGAGTCCTTGGGGCGGCACATGGTCGGCCGAGGCGTCGGAGCGCGCAGGCGCAGTGAATCCGAGCCGAGCAATGCGGTGTGCTTCCGCCTTGAGGCTGCTGCCGAGCGAGACAAAGTCCTTGTAGTCCTCGTTGATGATCGAGTAGAGCTCGTCCTTGAGCTTCTCGTTGTAGCTGCGCAGATCGCTGAGGATGAAGTTGAGATCGGATGCCTTGGTGCGCGAGAGCAGGAAGTCGTCGACGGAGAAGTTGGGCGCATGGATGGGCGAGAGCAGTTCGAGATCATGCGACAGAGGCGTCAGCGTTGGGAACTGGCTTTCTCCTGGCTGAGTCTCGTCATCGTAGGAGAAATCCATGGCTGCAGGGGCATCGCTCTGCGAGCTTGGCGCCGCTGCTGCCGCCATGTCACGCGGCGGACCAAGCTGTTGCTTGGGGTCACTACAGAAGCTGCCAGCTACCGGCCACCAATCTCGCCGCTGAGCTTGCACGGTAGGATCGTGTTGGAAGATGTGGAACAAGCCGCGTTGGGAAGCTTCGCATATGGCTCGAGCACGAAAGCACACGTCGAAATTCGCGCAAAAGTGTTACATCGCCTTGGCGCCCACGCGAAGCTAAAACGCACTGAGTGCCAATTTGCGCAGCAGCGCCTGCACGAGCCGCCAGCCGCCGCGCTTGAGAAAGACCAACACCTCTTGCCCGTTAACCTTCTTTGCCTCTATCGACCGTCGATAACATTCTTCTGCCGATCTGCTCAGAAGATCTCGGCAACCTAACGGCCAACAAGCTCTAAGCTGCACTCTTTGCGTAACCTGCGAGGCAACTCGAAATTTCGCAAACCATCCGGTGGGGATGGCAGGCCATAGCCTTGTGTGGACAACTTCAGGCGCAGTGCTCGTTGGCGTTGTCTTGTCGCTGATCCTCTCGACCACCATGGGTCTCTTGGGCGGCAAGAAGTGGAAGCCGCAGGGGAAGAATGTCTTTATCACGGGCGGCTCGCAGGGTCTGGGCCTCGCGCTTGCCGAGTTGCTCGCTGCCAAGGGCGCAAACGTCACGATTTGCAGCAGGACCGAGTCGAAGCTTCGCGAGGCGGTCGAGAAGGTCAAGGTGAGTTAGTCCAATCCTGCCTGTCTGCTCCGTCCCGCCGTGTACTGATCCTGTTCCCTCCACTGCCGGTGCCACTCACCTTTTCGCGACTTGCTGCCTTTCTCTCGCGCCCTCCTTTGTGCCCTCCTGCGCTCTCTGTGGCACTCGCAGGCGGCAGCAAAGTCTTCGCAGCAAAAGATGGAGTATGTCGCTGCAGACGTATCGACATTCGAGGGAGCCAAAGAAGCGATTGCGAGATGCGATGTCGTGCCCGACACAATCTTCTGCTGCGCCGGCGGCGCCAAGCCGGGCTTCTTCCTGGAACAGACCGAAAGCGACTTTGAGCAAGGCATGAAGACCGACTATTGGACCTGCCTCGCCACGGCTCATGTGAGTACCTTCTACGCCACGCAATCAGGATCCCGTGCGTTCTCACCTCGACTTCACCCGGACCGCTCGCTCACTTTGCCTTCTTCCTCTCTGCACAATTTGGAACGACAGGCGGCAGCGAATGCGATGGCTCGCAACAAGGTGGTAGACGGCA